AGAATGGTAACGACTTAGCAAGGCTGTTCTAAAGGTTACATGTGGTAATGTGCACTTCATACACAATCCACAGTCCCCTCTTCCCCCGATGATACCCATGACAAGAGGGACTATCTTTAAAGGAAAAAAACCCTTATTCATAAAGAGGGGCCTTCCAAGGTTTCCAAATATTTGCAGACCCCAGTAACACAGATGCTCTCTCAACTTTAATATATTTTAGGAGAAAAGGCACACTGAGATCTATTAGAACATTTCAGACCTCTTGCTTATGTCCGGACAAATATGCTTGTGACTCATTTGCTTCCATCTGAGAAGCAACTGGCTGGTCAGAAATCACTGTCAGCAAAGTACAGCAAATTAGTACAAAACAGTATCAATCTAAAAGTACCAGGCCACTCTGCAAGGAAACCTTTTCATTATTCCAAACAAATCATTTTTGCTTACGTATAAGGAGGAAGCAGCGTGGTCTAATCCTTCCCCACTCGTGGCAACAACAGCAAATTGAAACTCATGGGTCCTGGCCTTGCCATTTGAAAGGTGACCTTAGATAAGTTTTTTAAAAATTTAATATTCATTTAGTCAACAACTATTCACTGAGAGTGTCTGTAAGATCCCTGTTCTCATGTTATTTATATTCAGATGGAAGAAGAAAGACATCATATAACAGACAGACAGAAGGACAGGCAGGGAGAATTTAGCAGATAGTGATGGTTACAAGAAAATTAAAGAGGTTATGATATAGATTGTGACTAGGGACCTACTTTAGGATGCAGTCATTTTAGAAATGGTGACATTTAAGCTAAAATCAGAGGAAGTAACTTCTTCTTTCTGGACATCATGTCCTTTTCTATAAAATGTGACTATGGAACTGGCAGGCTTTCCAAAGTCTCCTCTGGTTCCAGGAAACGGTTTCCAGGGCTATTAAAGATATATTATATGTATGGGTAATTTACATGTGTGGGATATATGTGTGTAGGCACATATATTTTTAACGTGAAATATTATCCTATGCTTGATTAAGCAAATCATTTATGGCAGTGAGTCTTAGCTTTGAAGACATTTAAGGTAACAGTAAATTCTTTGTAAGAAACCAAATCTAGCTTTGCATACTGAACCGATCCTACTGTTCATTTTCTGAGCTCTGATAAAGAAGTGTGTATTTTGTTAATGTTTTGGCAAATGAAGCCATACTGGCCTCTGACCAGAAGAGTTAATATGTCCTCGCATGTTTCAAAGTAGGCAAAATGCAGGAATTTGTAGTAAGATTAGAAGTTTTCTTAAACTGGGGCGCCTATGGCTCAGTCGGTTAAGAGTCCAACTCTTGATCTCAGCTCAGGTCTTGATCCCAGGGTCATGAGTTCAAGCCCTCCTGCACTGGACTCCATGCTGGGCATGGAGCCTACTTAAAAATAATAATAAGTTTTCTTTAACTAATTTTTTCTGGTGATCACTTAGAACTACAAATCCAGACAGACTGAAATTTAAAGGGTGCAACTCTAAGCCACATGTCCCTTTTTATACAAAAACAGAAAAAACTGTAAGGTCAAGGGGTATGGAATTTTTTGAGGAAACATCAGTATTTTGGCCCATATTTTTCATGCACCAGTTAACTAGAAAATTACAAAACCTGAAAAACTCAGATAAATTGTACCAAGGGAATGAACACCATACATTCATCCCTTCACACCCCCAAAAACTTTCTCTCCCTCCCTTCTCCCCTGTCCTTCATGCCAGGGCACTTTTGTGGAATGGGAAGGAAGGCCTCTCAGGCAGTTGAAAAATGAGGGCCTCTGAATTTTTAATTCTGTTAACTAATCATTAGAAAACTAGAAATTGCTGTCTCTCTGAGAACCAGTGAGGTAGCAGGCTCCACAGACCCTGTTTAATTTTGCAGGAGCTGGCTGGCTTCCCAGCAACACATTGATTTGTGGGGCCACTACTCTGGGCACCTCGAGGATAATTAAATATTAAGTCCCTCTTTGATGTATGCAAAGTCTGCCTAAGAGGATTACCAGCCACAGCAAAGGTAGCAGTCCTACATTTTCTGGTAATTGAACATTGCAATATCATTATCTATTCTTATCTTTGCTCAGTAAGAGCCTGCCTCTACCCTTAATACTACCTTTGAGAATAAAGAAAGGTACAAGGAACAGAGAAAATGTGAGCCCTTGCAGTCAACATTCTGGGGTCTTCTAGGTGTCTCGGGTAGAGAGATGAGGAAGAGTTTAGTGTGTGTGGCAGAAATGACAGTGAGCAAACCATGCTCTACCTCCTCCAGTTCAAGGTTCCACTTGGCACACCAAGTAGACAAGGCTCAGTTTCAGAATCCTCTCTAAAGCAATAAAGCAACAGAGGAGGGAGGGCGGCCAAGCCCTATGCTTACAAAGGATTTGTCCACCAGGCCCTGATCTTTCTACTGCTCTATTGAAAGGTAAAAACAATAATGGAGATGACCTCCAACGTAAACTCTGGGCACAGTTCTGTAACATTCTAAAAGTTGCTGCTGTTTCTACTGTGAAGCTACAAGTTTTCTGCATTCATTTTCCATGTAGCGAACAGTTATCTATAGTTATAGGCAGAGTTTCCTGACCAAATTCACTTGCCCTCCAAAACAGATTTGAATCGCAATGCCAGGCTGACACAGAACACTTCATTTTTATGGGAGGAGGAGGAGAAACTCACTGACTTCATTTATTTGGGGAAGAAAACTATAGATGAACAGCATAATTAAGCCATGAGGGTAGTTTCTGTATTTCTGCTACCAAATACTTGAAGAAACTCAGTTCATTAGCTTCCAAGAACAGGGAAACTGCTCTTCTACAAGGACAAAGGAAAAGGGGGAGAACATGAAAAGAGTAAGGGGGCACAAGGTGAATTTTACTTGAGTCAGAGATGCTGGGAGAGATGTTTTCTAAGAGCCTGAAAATGCAGTGACATGAGGTTCTACACACAGACAGCGAAGGAGAGAAGCCAGACCGTGCTCAGTGAAATAGTCCAGTCAGTTCAGAAAAGTGTACATGGAAAAGGAATCTTAACAAAGGCTAAGGTCCCTTAGATCCTGTTTTTGGAAAAAGCGTCGCTATAAAGAAATTAAAATCTCAGAAATCACTGGAATCCTATAAATGTTGGAACTTGTTCTTTGGTTAACTGGAAAGTGAAGGAAAGCTTAAGAGAAGAAACAGTGGTTATACTCATGCTATTTCTGAAGCATTTTGCCCCAAATAACAAATTGTCTGTTCTACTGTTTCAACATGACAGAAAAGATGGATGTTTTCCCCTTTCCCTGGTCTCCGTATTGTTTTGAAATATTGTTGGTATAGAGACTGGACATAACATGAAGCGAGGCTCCAACCAGAGAAACCAGCCCTATGGCCCCACCCGGCTCCAGCCATCAAGGAAGAGGAAACTGAGCAAGGTTGAGAACTTGGAAACTGGAGGTTCTGTCAGAAAAGCACCTAAGAGCAGGAGCATTCATTTGTTTCAGAATGAGTCACAATCCAAGATCCCATGTGGCAAACATAACATAACCTAATTCTGAGCTTACCTCGGAGATGCTACATGAACCTTCCTGTCGCTAAAACCAGCATAACTCTAACGTCGACTATGCCAGAGACCTGGAATATACTTCATCGTCTATTGCATTTGTGTTCACAGACTTCTCTTTAAAAAGACTGTTAGTGATCTCTTAATGTAATTCAAGGCAAAATGTTGAAACTAAGTATGTCGGTAAGGTCAAGGGGCTTCAGAAAGAGCATTATTCAGATACCAGTGACTTTTATAATACAATCCATTTCAGCAATTTGGCAAGATTAGAGGATCTCTGATAAGTCCATCTTTTCTGCATCTCAAATTCTCTAACTCAAAAGAATAGATAATAGTATTTACCTCTTTCTCTCATATAGGGAAATAAGAATATATAAGATAATAATTATGAAGATGTTCTGAGACTCAAGATATTGTTAATATCTGATTCACTGTTAAAAAAAAATTCATTCTTCTTTCAATGTAGTAATAAGGACATAAATATTAATTTCAAAACAAAGCTTTATAATTAGAAGGTAAATTGAGTCGCAGTCAGACTTCCAGGAAACTCTTGCAGAATAGATTACGTGGGAAGTTTTATTTTATTGGCATATAGTCTACCCTGCAGGCTAACGCACTTGACTGAGATAACTGATCCTTACATCCATGTCTTTTAGGATGCATCAATTTACAGTTTGAGCCAAACTTCAATGACCACCGTATTTCCTTGATTTGGGAATCAGCATTCCCATTTACTCAATCAACAAGTATCCGAGCTCAGAGTATGTGCACAGCATATTTAGGGGAATTCAAAAGACAATAATACATCCTCCAGGGCTTCTGAGTGTCCACAGTAGTGGGGAGACAAGACTTTAATAGTAATGATGATGATAATAACAATAATAATACATGATACACAATTAAAGCTCAAATGTGAGGAATTCAAAGTTAAGTCTGAAATGGTCAGGGAAGGTTGCAGAGAGATGATGGACTGAGTGAGTCTTGAAGGATTGGATGGAGAAACTGAGATCTTGTGTGTGTGCTACATTACCGATCTAGGTACAGAAGAGAGACGAGGCACCTGCCTGCTTGGGCAGAGTATGAAAAGAATGAATTAGCTAAACGGCACACTGCGTTTCCATTTCCATCCGCCTTTCTCCAGGGACAGGGAGAGCTGCGATAATTAACTGATACTGTGAAGAATCCTGACTATAGCCTACGAAGAGAAAAATGATCCACACATGTGAGGTGAAAGAGACATCACCTCCAGTGCATATGCATTTTCAAACAGATGGAAAAACCCAAACCAACTCTGCTGTACATATTTAACTCCTAAACGGTTGGATTGAGGAACATAGTGGAAAGTTGGCATCACCGAGCTGATTATTCCCTGGAGCGTCGCTGAAAGTAATCAAGAAACAAGCTCCAATGATTCTGAATAGGGACAATGTTCAATAGCCAGATGAATGCTCCCTTACCTGTCTCTGGGGCCAAGTGGCTTTGAGAATGGCTTCCGTTCTAAAGAACACAAGGAGCTTGCCATCCTCCTCCGTCAGGTTAAAGGACTGTCCCCAAATCTGCAGCACCTGAATGCGGGGTCTCACGGGTTGGGTGTCATCAGCACAGAAGGGCCGCAGCCACTCCAGCAGGTCCTCAGCGGAAACCAGGTCTTCTCTGAAGGGCAAAATCAAGGGTTAGATAGAAACTCTAAAGTCGGGGCGCCTGGGTGGCTCGGTCATTAAGCGTCTGCTTCGGCTCGGGTCGTGATCCCGAAGTCCTGGGATCGAGCCCCACATCGGGCTCCCTGCTCGGCAGGAAGCCTGCTTCTCCCTCTCCCACTCCCCCTGCTTGTGTTCCCTCATTCGCTCTCTCTCTGTCAAATAAATAAATAAAATCTTTAAAAAAAAAAAAAAAGAAACTCGTAAGTCTTTAAAAAAAAAAAAAAATCCCAGTAATCAAATGTGGCGATTGACCCAAAGACTGGTTTGTTGGGTGACACTGGTTTTGTGTGTGTGTGTGTGTGCTATTGAGAAGAAAAATTTAGGTTTTAAATGGCATAAGGCAACCATATTAGGTATTTTAAAAACTATGTAAGATAAATGTGATTTTTAAGCAGTAACATATCGAGTTACATAAAGCAGATGAAAAATAGTCAATATATTCTTAGCTACTCTATGTCTTAGGCAAAGTTTAATAAGAAGTATGGTTTATTTCTATTAATGATACACAGAGAGCCAGGCATCATTCTAAGTTTTATATAAACTATTTCTAGTTGACAGTAACTATGCAATGTAGATATTAAAAATTCCATTTTATTTTAAAATTTTTTCCAGTTGTAGAGTTAACTAACATATAACATTGTGTAAGTTTAAGGTACATAACTTAATGATTTGATGTACGTATATGTTGTGGAATGGTTACTAATAAGTTTAGTTAACACCCATCACCTGACATAGTTACAACAATTTTTTTCTTGAGATTAGAATTTTTAAGATCTACTCTCTTAGTTACCTTCAAATAGATAATATTGTTAACTATAATCCTTAGGCTGTACATGTAACTTCCTTTTTATAGATGAGGAAACAGGCTTCAAGGAAGGAATATGATATGACCACAGATATCTAGAATAGGCAATACAACCCCCAAGTCCATATTCTTTCTACCACTGTTCTCTGTGATAGAATTTCAGTATGGGGTTAGAGCATCAGGTTTCATACTACCCTAAAGATAAAATACGAATGCATGCTTATTAAAGAACTGTGACATCTAAAAGGCTTCAGAGAAGGAAATATTTGTGCAACTTTCTATCCGGCACTAGAATCTCTTCCCTTGTAATCCCAAATGGGCCATCTCAGGAAAGCAACGGGTTTGATGATGATATCAATGAATTATACTTGATTACTGTTAAGATGTCTCCACTAGATACCTCACTTGCACAGGGCCCTGGGGAGCAGTGCTAAAGCACTGAATCATATAGGTTTTGCTGTAACCACATCCTTATGAGGCTTCCAGCAATAAATCACCTAGACCAAGTCCCAAATTCCATGACCTAACAAGACCACAGGAAATTTTTAAAGATTCGACAATTACCACTGAGTGTTTCTGTTAGTATGCATTCTATAATATACTTGTCAATAGTTTCATGGGAATTCAAATTAAAAAGACAATTCATTATTTGTATTTCAGAATAAAAGAAATGATTAGACGCCATGGATAACTGGCTCAAGCATTTTCTAAATCTACCAAGTCATTTGTTAGCTTTACCTATGTGTGTCCTTGATATGTATCAAAACTGGCAAACCTGGGGTGCAAGAAAAGAAGACTACCAAGATTTCCTGGAAATCTATGTGGAAAGTAAGCAGACAGTGTCATGCAGAGGAAAAGCATTTTGCGGGAATGTGATATAAGTATGAACCCTGGCCCCAGATAAAAATCACGAATATCATCATCCCCATTTTATAGGTAAGTAGACAGGTCCTGAAAGTGTGTCTCTTGGAGTCTGTGAAACCAAGATAATGTATATAAAGTACTTAGCCACAGCACATAGCACAGAGGAAGTACTTAATAAATAATAACCATAGCCTGCATAATGATCATTATGATTATTATTGGTATTATCAAAGCACCAGTTTGTGCTTGATACAGGGACGAAAATCATAGGATTCCTGCCTTCGAAGAACTAGTAACACTATAGAAAGATTTTAAAAGTGACTATCATTCAAATTACTAATGTATGTAAATATGAATAATCATTTTGGAGGAAGAGCGAGTAGAATCAGGGAAGGCTTCATGGAGGATGTGGCATTTGAGCGGGGTCATAAAAGCCAGATGGGATGTATGTACATGGCAAGGTGGGGAAAAAGAATCCAAAGAGGAGAGCAAGAAAAAAACCCAAAGATTTGAAAGGACAGCACATGTCCAGAGGGTGATTAAAGCACAGACGTCCAGGTGGTACATGAGAGGAGGGGGCTAAGGTAGCTAGCAGAGGTCTCCTCACCTGGATGGCCAAGAGCACACACCTAAGGCTGCAAAGGCAGCTTCAGGCTTTGAAAGCACAGGCTCTGCAGCTGTCAGGCCCAGATTCAGCTCCCAGACTGACCTCTTCCTGACATTGTGATGTTGACCAAGAAGCCACCTAATGGTTCTGAGCCCCAGTTCCTCATTTGTAAATTGGAGATGGATACCTCCCCCTTACTCATGAAGCTCTTTTGAGAATGAAACAAATACATAAATAATAAATGTAAAGCACATAATACATTAAGAGACATATAACTAAGTGCTTCAATTAGTGGCAAACACTATTACTGAGGACATTTGGTCTTAACTCTGTATGGAATGAGAACAGTCGGGGGACTTCTGAGCACTGAAAAATCATAATCACGTGAAGTGATCAGAGAAGCGTACAGGTGGGGCAGGCTCAGGCCCTTTTTGGTGAAGCCTGCAGGGGTCCAATTAGGTATAATTCATGAGAAAAGGAGTTTAAAGCACATTTTTGGCCTGGAGTCCAAAGCAATTTCACATAATATGAAGCTGATTTTTGACCCTGTCACCCATGTGCCAAGTGGGGAGCAGGTAGGATGAGCCGGAAGGGGAAGGAGCTGGAGTCATGAAGAGCCGCTGGAAGTATAACAATTACCCAAGACTTGAATATGGTAAACAAGAATGAGAATGGCAACCCACGGAAGTGACTAGGAGCTATGAATTCTACCACTTCATCGTTAACTCTTTCATGTATTCTAATACCATCTCCAATCTGCAGATGACGAAACAGCCACAGAGAAGTGTAGCGTCCAAGGTCACAAAGTAAGGAGTGGAGCCAGTATTTGAACTTGGACGATCTTAACGCCTTATCAATTACTACACAGTGCTACCAGACCAAATGGGGGCATGTTCCAGAACACGGTGGCAGCAGATTACAATTATTCAGATACTGACGCAATATAGAAAGATCATTGTTGTGTTTTCCAAGTCATCACATTGAGTTAGATTCCATTTACATTAGAAGTTATTGTGCAGTTGACGACACCTGACATTTTGGGGAAATCTGCTCTAACTTTGGGTTGATAGTTCGAACACATAATAAAATTAGGAAAACTCATTCCTAGGACAGAAGTGTTGTGTTCTGGAAGCACCATGTTCTAGGCAAGCCTCACTGTATAGCCACGTGAATACTGGTGTTCAGTAAGATGACACAGAAGTGAAAGGCAACTCTGTGGGAAAGCTACCCAAGGACATAACCTAGACACCATCTCCTAAGGATTTCAGCTGCAAAATGGTTAATATTTTCATTTCAATCTGAGTTTTTAGTCACTCTCGTGACTCATCAAATACACATGCACACACATATAGAGAGACAGAAAAAGAGCAGAAATTTTGATAAAATGGCAACAAACTGGCAAATCAAGGGGAAGAGTATACAGGTATTCTTTTTTCTATGCTTGCAACTTTTCTGTGGGTTTCAAATTTTTGAAGTAAATAAGTGGGTGAAAAATAACCAATTATGACTTTTATAATGTGAAAAATAAAACAGAACTGGAAGAAGGAAAATGATTCCATTTATATAGTATTTTATGAAGGCAAGGAGAGGATTTAATGAGCTTAGGAATAAAAAGAGAACATTATTTTGAAACATTTTTACTTTATTATAAAAGTTATATAAATGTTTTTAAAAAGTTATAAAACAGATAAAAGAAAAAAATCACTCATAGTTTCACTGCAAATAGCCATTTTCCACCTTTTTCTCTATAGTGAGGATTTTCTGGGGAGGAGGTTATTATACTGCACAGAGCAACTTACTACACACTATTTAAAAAAAAAATAACTACTAAAGGAAACACACATCCACAAATCGGTTTTGGCCCAAAAGATAAGGAGTCCTCTGAAACAGCTCTATTAACAGAGAAGAAGAGCAGCACAACAACAACAAAAATATGTTCACTGAATCACTAATTGGAGAAAAGTGATGTTCTTACATAATGTAGCGCAAGAGGATCTTCACAAAAGGAATGGAAGAGAGTGTCAGCCAAACAAAAGCAATTATTCAGAGTAAAAAGACAGATTGTGAGAATATTAATAAGCTAATCCTTGGTAAAAGAATTTTCAGGTTCTGCATGGCGTATTCATACAAAGATAACTCCACCTTGAACTTAAATGGTTAAGGTTCATTAAAAGAGATAGCAAATACAAAAAGCACTTTATATAATCATGACACACTACACAAATAAAATTATTGTTCTTATTTGGGAATGGGGGAAGGAAAGACTGCATTCCAACAAGAAAAACACAGGCCACGGTGATTTCTTATAAACATAAATGTCCTAGAATTTGAATGCCTGAAGGGAACTCAGTCATATCTTCTATATGGAAGTCACAAACTGGCAGCTGAATTTTTGTGTTGGCTTGCATGGTACATGCCAATGTTTCAAAATTTAAAATTTTTACAGGAAATCAAGATTTTTCTAGCTCCTCTATTTCCACCCCCAGTTCTACTGAGATATAACTGACATACGGCTCTGTGTAAGTGGACAGTGGAGAGCATAATGATTTGACTTACATGTATGATGAAAGAATTCCACAGCAAGTTTAGTTAACATCCAGCAGTTCATTTAGATTAAAAAAGAAATCTTTTTCCTTGTGATGAGCTCTCTTCACATCTACTCTCTTAACAACCCAGC